TATAAATATGAAAAATAAAAATTATATAAATAGTAAAAATAGTAAAATTTCATAGTAGAAATAGGCATTTTAAAATAAAATTTACAAGGTTTTCTAGCATAATTGTATTTTTTAATTAGTTTTTATAATAATTTAAAAGTAATAATTTGAGTTATTCAACAAATTTTTATCATAGATTTATTTCTTTATTATTTTTTTGTATATTATGTTGTAATCATATTTATTTGAATTAAAATTTAATTATACTTATTTTACTAATCTAAAAATAAAATACTATTATAAATAGTTAAAAGTAATATTAATTAAAGTTTGGAAATTACTAATTTACACCGCAGGTGATAATCACCTATAATAATATATACTATATACAGTATATATATACATATATACATGACATCATATAATTTATTATTTGTTACACAACATATAATTTATAATAATATATAAATAATACTACTATGCTAATTCAGATCTATTATAGTTATGTACTAATCACATATTAGATATTAATCACAGCACTCAAATAATGTGTATCAGATTGGTGACGTAGACTCCAGAATTACAAATCAGATTTCAAAATTTGGTGTAACATAATATAATTGAGAAGATTCAAACTAAACGTTCATTCTGCCAAAAATCACTAATAACTCAAAAATCAGAATAAGAAACCACCTTTAGTATTTTAGTAAAAAGATTTTGTTAGGCAATTTTACTATATAAACTACCTCTCTCTAATTCCTAACCTGCATCCTAACCCTAACCTTAATGAGTTTTAAGAATTTTGTTTGCGCCACCAACCTGGTACATATTATCCAAGTGCTTAATCATGTATCAGATATTATACCCATCTTAGGATTACCTGACAATAATTTTTTACTGCACAACAGACCTTCTTATAGATCCCGGATCTGAATCAATTTACACAGATTTAAAGTAACAGACCTGGAGTGGTTTATGCAACAACTTACAACATATATACAGACGTATAGCATATATTTTTTGACTAAGAAGAATGGCTTGAAAAGCTATTTTATAGTATCTTAATTATCTCGAATATAATAAATTTACAGACTCCATTGTGATCAGAATTGGAGATTTTGAACAAGTAAGACAATAAAATATTAAGAGATACACTCACCAATAAAATCTCTGAATCATATATAGCATCTATTAAAAAACTTTTAATACATGCTACAGTACTTTCTGCACTCTAACAAGAAAATTTTCACAAAATGATATATAAGCACTACTTCAATTTAACTCTTATCTTTTATCACATAAATCGATTGTAATCAGTGTTATAAAATAATGCCTCGTAAATCATCTGACTTAAATATACTTCTTGCTATGTGAATAATACAACTTATTTACCTCGATCAAATTAATTTGACATATCACATGAACAGGCCTTTCCAGCTATCAAATAAATGTGATAAAGTTAACTATTGAGTGTAGCTCTCATATTCAATAGTAACAACAGCTTTTAAAATTAAAATGATACATAATTAGCTGACTCAAATTTAATTATTGAACCCAGACTTGTGGATTTAATGCATATTAATTTTAATCATAACAAACATATTTAAATTTTCTTTACAATTTAAGCAAACAACATGTACACAATATGCCTATATTAGCTACATTGTATATGATAATTATTCTCAATTATACTGAATAGGTTCTAATATTATGACCATAATCTCCACAATTATTATATTTATTTCTTTTTTTTTTCATGTTACTCATTATGATCTGCTACTAATTTTGTATTCTGTGAATTTTGACAAGTATTGGTAATATTTTCAAGTGCATCCTTGAAATGCTTAGGTGGCCTACCACGGTGTTTAGTCACATATAGATTCGCAACAACAGATTGTTGTGATTCAATTACATTTTCACCATTTTTTTTCGCATTTTTCAAGAGTTCTAGCTCACTATGCAAGAATAAATGAACAAAAAAATATAAACCCTACTACTCAGCTTTGTACGAACAATGTACTTACTCCAACTTTAAAAACATCTATTAGTGAGAAGAGCTGTTGGTCTAAAAGTTACGCAATATCAAAAAAAGTGTTGAATCTAATGATATGTCTTAACTGTGA